ATACCATTATTCATCTAATTCATGATTAATTCTATTTCCATTCTGTCCATGTAACATGTGCTATGCCATTTCTCATTTAATTGACAATTTCTTTCTTTTCATGTCTCCAATGTCATGCTGTATCCCCTTCTCATTGAATGTACAGATTGTGTCGTTTCTCACTTATTTAACCTTATATCAATCCCTAGCATTACTCATGCAAATGTCAACGTGTATGCCTTCTAGCGACACTCTCCTAGTTAGCCTGTTACTAGTTGAAATGAAACTTTCTTCTCGCCCTTGACATGCTACATATACCCACCAAAGAAGCGGTGATGAGGCACATACGTTATAGCCTGCCCTCTACTCACCCCAACATACTTCTTTCACCCTCTCCACACAGAACTGAAAGGCCGTGATGTCAGTATCGATTGATTGATTATCGAGGTTTGCCCCGAGATATTGGTGGATCGTTTTATACAGCACGCACTTGTTCAAACCAAGTACCCGTCACTAGAAACCCCACTATGGAACTGACTTTTCCTGTATGAAAAGTACGCTCTAGAGAGATGTTAGATCTAAGTATTCGACTTAAGTTTCCAACATTCTTCTAAAAATGCTATGTTCTTAATACGATTTTAAAAAGGCCGCGTTATTATCGTCTTTGTGACGCTGTGATCTTAAGCTGGCCTGGGACTGACTACCCATCCTGGAGCATATCTACGCGCACACAAACCCATTATTTGCCTCATTTGAAATGCCGAGGACACGGTCGAGTAAAGAAATACACATTGGAGGTGTATTAATAGGGGGAAGGCCATTGATACGAGGAATTGTGGTACACCAAGTAGAGGCTCCCCTCTCGTCAAACAGGAGGAGGACAATGATGAATGTAGTCATACGTTTCTTTCTCTCGTTCGTCCCCTCTCTGCTCCACGAATTTACCATGGCTTATACTTTTTTCATTGTTGTCAAGTTGAAGTTTGCGAAGTATATTTAAGTACCAACCTTCCCTGTTTTGAGAGATATACGGTTTACAATACTATAAGGCGTGTATAGTGTCTAGTTATTTTCACTAGCCAATCCACAGCACCTGATTGTATTACTTGCAAGTGACGTATTAGTACTTTCAAGTACCATATCTTAGTACTTAAAAGTACCATTCTTCGTACTTATAAGTACCACCCATCTTAGTACTTATAAGTACCACATCTCAGTACCTACAAGTATATCCTAGTATCTGAAAGTACTATCTCAGTACCTTCAAGTACCTATGTACCATTTTAATGCTCTCAAAACACATTTGGTATTTTCGAGTACCACAAGCTAGTACCACATGAATAGTGTTTTCGATTATCTCCACATACTTTTACAACTGGCTAATTCCTCACACAAAACTAGGACTGTAAGGGCTGTCCCGCTTGAGGGGGGGGGGGGAGAGGAAAGATGTAAAGCAAATAATGTAGCCAGTCCAGGAAAGACTGGGGACAGCTAGGAGAAGTGTTGTCATACTAAGTAAGGCACTGCTAAGGACTAAAAATAAATGTGTAAAAGTAAAAGCGTCCCCCAACCCCACATATGATGAAAACTAAAAAAATGCAGACATACTAATTAAATAAATTTTAATTTTTTTTAAAAAGACAAGGGTGGGGGCGGGGCGATACATAATAAAGAAAGACAAAGTGACTAATTAAGTTTTCAATGCGAATACAACCTTTGTTATATATATATATATATATATATATATATATATATATATATATATATATATATATATATATATATATATATATTAAGATTGTACACATCTTTTTACTTGTTAGTACTAAAACATTATTTTTTGTACCTTTCCGTTATATGGTATATGGATCACTGTTGGACATAATGGACGTGTCGCTTGACTACTATACTTTCTATGGTTTTTCATTAGCTACAGGTCTGTGGTTAGGTTAAGCCACTGGTAAAGAACAAAAGCTTCGTTTTGCATTAGACCAAGGGTTACTGAAAGATAGGTGGAATAAAATAAACTTATGACAATAATTCTAATTACTTTTTTTCTGTTTAGAGTAATTAAAATATGATTTAATACAACTCTTCCTAAAGATTTCTATGTACAGAAACAATTTGTGAACTTTGCCGAGCCTAGGTTAAGATGTTCGTTTTCAAGGGTTTAGTTAGGGATCAAGGCTGAGGTTTAGCTGGGGTCAATGCTAAGGTTCTTATCCCCCCCCCCCCCCACCCCCTCGTTTTTTTTGACATGTCTAAGCACTGGGCAGGATATAGGAAATGAAAAGCTCATGTTTTCTTGTGATCTACAGCCAAAACCACCAGAGGCGGATTATTGCGTTTCAAAGTTCAAGTTAAAGGTGTTGACTTTATGGACGGCCATTAAAACATTTTATTCGGTTTTAAATATAAGCTCATTTATATTTACTTTTTTTTTAAACAGTTATCCAGTCTTTTTAAGACGTTAAAATATATAAAAAATGGGGGGGGGGGGGGGGTCTTAAAATCTTGCGTGTGAACTTTGGACATGTGAGTCTGTTGTCAAAGATCCGCTACTTATCATATGTAAGGAATAACCTACTCAGTTGTGTCGGTCAGCATAGACCCAGCAACCTTTATTGTGGAGCCAACACTGTGATTGCACCAGCCCGGCTCTCGCGAAATATTTAATGTATGCGTTCTATTTCTGATTCCCCGAGCCGTCTGTAGGTCTCAGTTTTCCCGTCTACGGGGACCGTCTGCGACACAGTCGGTACACAAGCCTTTTGTTGAGTCTCTCATTACCGATGTACGAGGTAGACGCTGGGAGCTGAATCGATGGGATGACACAATGCCATCGGAGCCGCCAAGCTGCCCGCAATCACGCGCTTCTGGCCAGCCGGCCACGTTTTTTTTTTCAAACAGAAAGTGGCTGGGACATGGGTTTCTGGGGTTTGAAAATACATTCTTTCCCGCCGGTATTTGGTGTTTTAAGAATATGTTATGAATGTGTTTGTTTGGTTTAGAAACGACGTTTGAACCCCCAACTCATACGTGAGTTGAAACATTGTCAAATATTGTGTTGTCGTTGTCACCTACACATTCTCTTTGAGATCTGTTTTTTTTTTACGCTCATCATAAGTTCATGTCTGGGCTATCACTTCAGTCTATCACTGAAGATGTTGGCTACTTTCTTTTAGAGTGAGTTATAGTGTATATTTATATGATACTTGTATGTAGGTTCTGATGAAGGAGATGCGTGGATCGCGTGGGTGGGGCTCGTTAACCAGACCGCGGAAGTAATTGATTTGTAATCGTGTTGGCCGCTTCTTCACATCTAGTGTTGAGCTTCTTATCTTGGAGTTGACAGCAGGCGATGCATGTTGACCAATGGGTGCGATCGTTCACACTCTGCTTAGCTGGATTACAACCACAGTTTCTGTGGATGTGGCCCCTTTGTTGACCCTACTACATCCTTACATATGTTGATTAACATTTCCAGCAACTATCCAGTCAAGAAATTCACTTGTAAAATAGTTATTTTTTTAAATTAGGGACGTATTTTTATTTAAAAATTTTTTTTTTTTTTAGGTTATTTGTTTTTCTTACAATGTGAGTTGAATCCGAAATCAGCGTTATTTCAAGCTCACACTTGTGTAGTGGTTGCATCACCCCTTCTTAACATCTAAGAAAAACGGTTCTTTCAAATGATCATGTTGAATCACTCCTCAGCAATGCGTATGTGTAAAAACTAGCGTTATCTCAAGGATATTGTGTTAGGTGATTTCTTTCATCCTGTAGATTCCGTTCTTTCTAGCAATGTAAGTGTATATCTAAAAAAAAAATGTGTCAAGGACGCAATAACTGTTGCAATTAGTTCTTCTTCAAGTTTGTGGTAAAGGAAAATAGAACATCGCATGCAGTTCACAAAGCATACTTGTAAACGTATAAAGCCGATTCAGTTTTTGTTTTATCTAAGATCGCTCCAACTTATAAGAAACCGCGTTATCTCAAGGATAAGAGAGATATGTAGTTTTAAGTTTTATTGGCGGAGTCTCTTATTCTTAACATTGTGTCTAAGAAAAAACATATCTCAAGGCCAATATGCTTGTTTGTAGTTGTAGTTGTAATTGTATTTGCTTGAATGAGTTCTCCCTAAGTAGATTGTACGTGGTGTATAAGACGTGGCGCTACCATCACCTGGTCCACAGCGGTTGTACAGTAGCACACACACACACACACACACACAAACACACAGGAGGACACAGTGCCTTGTCTGCTCGATGCTGCCTGGCTTGCTTGACTGGTCTTAACCTCAGCTTTTATTTTTGGTGTGTGTGTCTGTGTGGTGGAGGCTGGAAGGTGAAGATTACGTTGGAGTGAAAATGTAGGTGGTGTTGTGGGGAGGGGGGAAGGGAGAGAAGCAGTCGAGAGAGGAAAAAAATGATTGAAGGGAGCTTACTTTGGATATTGTTTGGCCTGATTGTGCAGGGGAAAACTCTTGGTTTCTCGGTTTTAGGAAAATGTACAGCCCTGTTAAAATGGATTGATTGCCTGCAGTTTTTAGTTTGTACTCCCCAATAGCCCCCATCCCCTGCCTCAAATCCCACCCCCAACTTCTCTTCCCCTTCCCCCCTCCCCCTCACATATCCTGTACATTGTGTGTAATTTGATTTACAAGTTGTCAGTACAAAGATGTGAATGTGGAGTACAAACTATCTGGGTCTACTAAAAATTTGCTCTAGTATATTGTATTTACTGCTGTTCTTGCAACATATTTCTTGGAATCACTTGAAAAAATAATATCCTGTTATTAGAACTGACTGTACAAGTACAATATTAACATTTTAAAAAGTATCACTTGTAAAGCCATGTTTAATAAAATGAATTTCGAATATTTTTGCTAAGTTTGATTGTGTTTTGAGTAAAGTGTTGTAATGTAAATTGTTAACAATGTAACATTTGTAAGTGTCATTTTTTTTTACTTTCATTTCATTTGCTCTTTTGATTGAATGTTTTTTTCCTTTTTTTTATAGAGATGATCACAGAAGTGGAGGCACTGCTTACCAAATGCCACCCCAGAACCTTAACACACCAACCCAACAACAGCAACAGCATCCGGACCAGCATCAGATGAGTCAGTCCTTGGTGGATCAACACACTGGGGTCAGCATGGCTGACCAGCACTCATCCCTTGACCATGCCCACAGCATGGCGGAGCATGCGGCTCACAGCATGCTGGATCTCAGCGAGACAGGCAGTTCCCTGGAGCACCTGGCAGGGGGAGGTCACTCCGCCCAGTCACTGGCTGACTTAGGCCGAGGCTCGGACCAGTCTCTTGACTCCAACGCTAGGAGACAACAGCTGCATGATAGAATTGGTTTAAATGACGGGGGCCAAGGAATGCGGCAGTTGGGTAATGACAGAGACATTGGGATGGGCTCTGGAAATAACAATGGTATGCGCCCCATGTCGGGACTAGGGGACAGGATAAATCAGCCAATGAGGAACATGACTCCTGTGGGGGACAGTCGAGTGCAACATTTAGGAAATTCTATGTCCTCGGATGGGCGGGGGAGCGTGGGGCTCAGCGGTGGCAACGGGAATGGTTTATCTGACCAAGGATACCCTGAGCAGTCTTCTCAAAGTTTGTTGGACTCAATGTCTTCACGAGGCCGGCCACCTTCCATGGGGGGTGGTGGTCAGCATAATCTGGACCAGCAGCATGGCGGACACTCCCTGCCCCCGCACATGAGAGGTGAGCACCCGTCCCACTCCCACCCTGGTCTTGTAGACCACCATTCCCAGCAGGCTATGGGTGGGGACAGCAGTAACCATAACGGCCGAGGGGGCATGTCAGCTTACGGTCTAGACAACAATAACGGTCAGCTGCACTCGCGGCCAGGCTCCACGCTATTGCAGGAGCCAAACAGTCGTAATGACGCTCGTGATCTTTCTCGTGCTGTGTATTCTTCATCATCATCATCCACGGATCGGTCATCTGGTCACCAGTCTACATCTCTTATAGAGGAAACTATCGCAGCGGTGGCGTCAAATCTCAACAAGTCTTCACCCGATGGGGGTCTCATGCCTGGCCCCCTGCCCCCTAACTCAATGATGGGACACTTAGGGGCGCTAGGACTAGCACGGTCGAACAGTGCTGCGCCTCACATGGGGCACGGGAGCGACGAATCATTGGCCGACCTGGTGGGGAGACACCACAGTCATGGGATCCCCATGCTGTCTGAGAGGGCGAGTCAGTCTCTTTCAGGGCTCATGGATGACCATTCTATCGGGGCGTCGTCGTCCGGCCACGGTCAGGGCAGGGAGCTGGAGAAGACCCACCCCTGTTTGACCTGTTTAAAGATGTTCCGTAGCAAACAACAGTTGGCCCAGCACAACCTGGTGCACACGGGGGTGCGCAAACACATCTGTTCTTTCTGTGACCGGGCCTTCAAGCAGCTTTCACACCTACAACAGCATGTGCGCATACATACAGGTCAGTACCTCCAGATTTACTTCTGCTACTTCCCCTTTCTATTTCATCATTTAAAAAAAAATGTAATTTATCTTTCACTCATTGAGACAGAGCATCAGCCTCGCATGCAGATCAACACTAATGCTGGAATTACTTCTCTTGCCTGTGCTTATCACTCACTGCTAGACATACCATTTTAATTGTTTTTTGTTTGAAGCTTGACAATACTTAAGACAAAATTTTCTTTTTTTTAAATAAGTAATATACATTTTTAAGTTGGATAAATACATTAGTGTATAATCAATAGCGCAGTTTTTTCTGTTTAAAACCAGTAATCTGTATATAATTTTATTAAAATATCAATTCTTGTTAGGTTTCTGAGTTAGGGCTAGGTTTTAGTTGTGTCACAGAATATTTTTTTAATTTTTTATTGATTAGTTTCAGTTTTTTTTTTACTTCACTTTTTGTAAAAGCTTAATAGAGGTTTAAAACAGATAGTTTGATGTATAGCTAATTTTTTAAATGCAGTTGAAACTACTGGTGTAGAGAAATGTATTTGTATAATGATCCTCCAAGTAGGTAATGCATTGAGTTTTCTTGTGGAATACTGTTTGGTTAGTTGATTATTTTGATATCCTCACTGGATCTGAAACTCTGGTTGCTGGCTCAGTCCCCCCCCCCCCTCCATTTATGGTGCACATCTTGGTTACAGAGTTGTTAAACTGATGGTTTTCAATTTGTAACTTTGTCAGCCAAAGTACTGAAATATTAATTGAGATCTTGAGGACCAAACAATAATATAATTTATGATCTGATTGCCCAAGGGTTAGGGTTAGGGATGCCCAAAGTGTAATGTAATTTGTGACCAGTTTGAAAAATGAGATTAAAGGTGTAATAGTGATACCTTTGCTGAATTAAAGTTGACTGATTTTCTTCTCCCAAATCACTGGTGCCATGTTGATAGAGGATGGACAAGGATTATTTTTCTAATTTATTCAAGAGTTTATTTGTAGTTTATTTGTTGAGTTAATTTGTAGAATAATAGTTCATAAAATGACCAATAGGCTATTTGATGTATGCAGGATCTTATGATGTAAGAGAGCTGTCAGCTTTAATGCTTTGTTAAACATAATCTATAGCTCGGTTAGCAATAGAAGTATTATACTCCTTTATGAATTGTTCTGTATTTCTTTAATCCAGCTGTTGAAATTTTTTTAGTTTAGTCTTATCTTTCAAGCAATCTGTGAAATGTACACAACATAAGATCAAGGGGTCTATGTGAAATAAACCAATCAATCATTCCATTAACTCTATTTGATTTACCCATCTGTCATTTCAACCCATTAATTTACACCCAGCCATATAATAGAACTTTTAAAAAGAAACCTTCATTTCCATCCCCCTATAATTAATTATTGTATAGATTTTTTTAAAGAGTAAATTTAAGGCTCCATATAAAGTAGTAGAGCCCACTATTCAGACTTTCACAAGACTTGGTGTTCAGCTCACATCACGGTTGAATTACCCATATCTCTAATCCAGTCTCTCTCAACCCCATTCTCTTCGAACACACTGTTTTTTTTTAGAGATTTAACCATCTTTTAATCAAAACTTGGAATCGAACCCACTGTATTATCAAACCCGCCATTTTATTATAAATTTAACATTACCTGGCTATCGAACCCACCATATTCTGTTTCCTGAACTATTTTATATGCCCATCGTAGATCTACCCATATTATATGGGCTACATATCTATTTAAACACCGTTGAGCTTCTGTATCTTCTAATTCAGTCAATCCATCAACCTAACCATTACCGTCTACTAACGGACCCATACATTGTTTTGCCCACACCTTTTTACATTAGCGCGGTATTTAAAATCCCATTTCAGCATTTCCCTTCCTCTCTCCTAAGGCCTACACCATAATATAAAACCGTGAGCGAACGCATTCGAGTCCACCCTTACCCCTTTTCTCGAGCTCCCCGAGTTACCCCCCACGCCAGTGAGTTGTTGGACCTTGTGTTGAGGCTTGTCTCAGCATTCAGGCATCTGTCAGTACGCCTTCCTCTTTACCGCGCGTGTCATGTTTTCCTTCAACTTTGACCCCGTGTGCATGCTCAAGCCGTGCCTCGCGTGCGTGTGTTCGCCCATGGCTCGACCTAATTGATCGACTATTCCAAGTCTGATTGGGAACTTTGGGGTACTGTGCTATATGGTTAATGGGTCTTCTATTTTTTTTCTCTCTCCTTTTTTGTTGTTGACGCTCTACATTGTATGGCAGGAACAAGTCCATATTAGATGGGGAGGGTACAGCAGGGGGAAGGGGGAAATATGGTTCTGTAATTTTTTAAAATTGACTTGAATGTTAAAGAAGCTACTTTTCATAATTTCTATTGCTTTTTAAAACCCCAGAGAATCATTTCGTTTATCAACAGTCAATAATTTCCTTTAAGAGCCTTCACAACTTGGTACATGGGCACGAATTTTCTCTCGGGGACCCTGCTAGAACATACAGTCGGCCTGTGCCTTGCAGGGTCAAGACCATGCCTCAAGTCGATGATACGGCTAAGACATACATTGATCATACTGTACCCCAAAGCGATGAGCTCATGTATTACAATGAACACTACCAAGTTTATCAACTTGGACCAAAAGTTACCCTTTGTTTTGAGCACCTCCCTAAATATTGTTACCAATTCAATCTTTGTTACCTTCCCCAGTGTAGCTATCTCCCATTTTCTGAACTACGATACATATAAGGACTACATGCGCGACATAAAAAAACGAAAGGATTACTTTGTTCAATCAGTACGTGTCTCAGTAAGGCTTATTTCATATCGTGAGCAAATAAGTGTGTTACTCATGGGTGAGAGCTAGTTGTTCTTGTATGTACATGGTTAAATACCGACAGCCATTTTGGGTTGTCCTTGTATGACACACAACCATTTGGGGTTGGAGCTGGTTGTTCTTGTATTTGAACTGTATAACACCCACAACATTATTGGGTTGGAGCTGGTTGTCAGTATGTGTACACTGTATGACACCTACAACCATTTAGGGTTGGAGCTGGTTGTCATCGTGTGTACAAGGTTGTCTACACACAACCCTCGTGGCTGTAGCTGGTTGTCCTCGTGTGTTTGCTATCAGAGAATCAGTTACCTCTCCCAAGTGTCTGGCTAGGAGCCGGCCATCTGTTGGTTCCCTTCCTTGTATGTAGACCATCTACAACTCTGTAGGCCGATTGATACTGATACACACCAGTTAGTTATGTGTGTTAGCCTTATGGAGAGCATGGCTAAACCATTGTCTAGTGTATTACATGTATGACCTACACCGAAAACTAGGTTATTAGATGTTTAAAAACGTTCATAATACGACACAGACATTTTTAAATTAACTTAAGTTCGATCACATACGCGAGACACATTAGACGAAGATTTTTTAATATAAGATGTGACATCATTTAGTGTGCCACCTCAAAGATTAAAAAAAAATAAAAATAATGCCGGATCAAATTCTCTTAGCCGGTAGAAAACTGATAACTGCTCCCGTCTCCCCTTCACAATGCGTTTTTATTATTTATGGATGGTGTAGTTTATACCAGACAGGAAGTAGACGGTTTCTATGGTGACTTGCTGCCAGGCGTTGTTCAGTGTGCCTCCGCTGTCTACCTGTAGAGAGAGAGAAAAAAAAAGGCATTGATTCAAGTCGGACCTCGGTATGATGTCATTAGCTGAACTAATTATGATGGCACATTAGCTCGCCCTACGCTACCCATGTCACATTTCGACCAGACATTTCATCAATACGCCGTGTCAAAGTGCCGCCGGTTGACCCGGGCTAGCTGCAGCCAGACTTGGCCGTGCGACGTGAAGACTCGAACGTTATCTCATGTTACTTTTATCCCAGCGTTTTGTCTGCTGGGCAAGGAGATAACAGTAAGGTTTTATAACAGCTCTCTCTGATCTCACGGTGCCGTCCTCTTTGGCCGCGTCGTCTTTCGCCGCTGTTTTCTAGGATAGAACCCATTCCACTGGCGACTACACACTTGAGAGCCAGCGGTTTCTATGCTGGAATATTTCAGGGTTTTCTCAACACATCCGTTTTTTTTTCTCTTCTCTTCTTTGCTGTAGCAGTGGAGGGTTCATGGTCTGCCACCTCTAACTAGAGTAGTGTCTGGTCGATTATCTCCCCCTCACCGCTTCTCTCCCGTGGAATCAATAGTTACATAATCTCAACCAAGCTCGAGTTTTAACGGGGGAAAAAAAAATCTTTTCGTAACGTTGGCCACATGTTAAGAGATGTGTGAGAAACTTGATGTGGCCACTGTAAGCTCCTACTGGTGTTGTCTCGCTCTTTGAACAACTGTCTTTTAGTTTGAACAACTGTCTTTTGTTGGAACAACTGTCTCGTAGTTCGAACAACCGTCTCGTAGTTCGAACAACTGTCTCGTAGTTTGAATAACTGTCTCTTTTTTTAAACAGCTGTCTGGTAGGTCGAACAACTGTCTTTTAGTTTGAACAACTGTCTCGTAGTTCGAACAACTGTCTTGTGTTGGAACAGCTGTCTCGTAGCTCGAACAACTGTTTCGTAGTTCGAACAACTGTCATGTAGTTTGAACAAATGTCTCGTTGTTTAAACAACTGTCTCGTAGTTTGAACAACTGTTTGGTAGGTCGAACAACTGTCTGGTAGGTCGAACTACTGTCTCGTAGTTCGAACAACTGTCTCGTAGTTTGAACAACTGTCTCGTAGGTCGAACAACTGTCTCTTAGTTTGAACCAGTATATTCCGTATTTTGTACCAAGCTGTCCCACCTTTAGAACCAATGTCTCGTCGTTTCAACAACTGTCATATATTTTTAACAATTGTCTCGCTGTTTGAACTATTGTCTCGTAGTTCGAACAATTGTCTCGTAGTTCGAACCAGCATGTAGATCAACTGTCTCTTAGTTCGAACAACTGTCTCGTAGTTCGAACAACTGTCTCATGATTAGAACCAGATTGTAGAACAACTGCCTCGTAGTTTGAACCCGTAGTCCCCTATTTTGTACCCAACCATTAGAACGAAGGTCTCGTAGTTCCAACACAACTGGCTTGGAGTGTGAAGCGAGGTTGCCCTAGCTGGAGCCAGAGATTCCCGTTATTAGATACATACCGCCTTTTGTTTTGAACAACCTGTGTTTTGCTTTAGTTAATCATAATTCCAAAATGAAATAGTTAACTCATGTTACGGTTGACGTATTCCCCCCTCACCCTCGAATCTCTGAACATTTATAAGTTGCTCTAATTTCCCGATCACCAACCGTACACAGTAGCCAGTTAATGGAATGTCAACACCGCAGTTGAATCGACAATATCATTGTTTAGTGCGTGCTTGGGACCCTCACCGCAGTCCTACCTTAACAACAGCTGGGCTGGTTTCATCCTAGAGATCACACAAAACAAATCTCTTGATTGGGGCTGAATGATGGCCCGCATAAGTGGGCACTATAAGCATATCCTGATACACGGTGGTGGTGTAGTTTGATGACTGCATTAGTGGGCACTACACACCAGGCCTATCCTGATACACGGTGGTGGTGTAGTTTGATGGCCAGCATTAATGGGCACTACACACCAGGCATATCCTGATACACGGTGGTGGTGTAGTTTGATGGCCCGCATTAATGGGCACTACACACCAGGCATATTCTGATACACGGTGTTGTAGTTTGATGGCCCGCATTAGTGGGCACTACACACCAGGCATATTCTGATACACGGTGTTGTAGTTTGATGGCCCGCATTAGTTGGCACTACACACCAGGCATATCCTGATACACGTTGGTGGTGTAGTTTGATGGCCCGCATAAGGGGGCACTACACACCAGGCATATCCTGATACACGGTGGTGGTGTAGTTTGATGGCCCGCATTAGTGGGCCCTACACACCAGGCATATCCTGATACACAGTGGTGGTGTAGTTTGATGGCCCGCATTAGTGGTGGTGGTGTAGTCTCAGTTGGTACACATCGACACACTGTTCCGGGAAACATCGGACGACGCGTTCGTGTAACACGCTGACGACACACATGACAGAGCACGCCGATGGTGTGTCTAGTGGAAGCTCGTTGATGTGTCATGTTGGTCGAGAAACGCTAATTACACATTGGCGGAAACACGCTAAAGAGACTTTAGTGAAACACGCTAATGAAGTATTGGTGCAAGCACGTTGCACATTGGTGCAAGCACGTTACACATTTTTGCAAGCACGTTACACACTGGTGCAAGCACGTTACACATTGCTGCAAGCACGTTACACATTGGTGCAAGCACGTTGCATATTGGTGTAAGCACGTTACACATTGGTGCAAGCACGTTACACACTGGTGCAAGCACGTTACACACTGGTGTAAGCACGTTACACATTGGTGCAAGCACGTTACACACTGGTGCAAGCACGTTACACATTGGTGCAAGCACGTTATACATGGGCGCAAGCACGTTACACATTGGTGCAAGCACGTTACACATTGGTGCAAGCACGTTACACATTGGTGCAAGCACGTTACACACTGGTGCAAGCACGTTACACATTGGTGCAAGCACGTTACACATTGGTGCAAGCACGTTACACATTGGTGCAAGCACGTTATACATGGGCGCAAGCACGTTACACATTGGTGTAAGCACGTTACACATTGGTGCAAGCACGTTACACACTGGTGCAAGCACGTTACACATTGGTGTAAGCATGTTACACACTGGTGGAAGTAAGCCCCTGACAGAATGGCTTGAGCACATTAACGATAGAAGCAAGCTAACGACACCCACAGTCAATCCATTATCATGCCACAAGACGTAAGGAAGAAAAGAAATGCTTTATAGTCTCTGGACTTACTTTCTGTCGAATATATTTATCACCGTAATTGTTAATATCTGTGACTTTGTATTACAACTGAAGTCATTCATTTATTGTGTATTTCTGATTTCATTTAAAACATTGGACATTCAATGTAAACAATTTTTCAAATTGCATTATCCAAATTTTAAGTTCACCCCCCCCCCCCCCCCCCCACCCATTGCGCCAACATTGAACCTCTGTCACTGTTACATAGAGTCAGCTTTGGTGACCACTCAATATCCTCCCTGCCCTTATAAAAAAAAGTCAGTTATTTCGAGCTGGTTTTGTTGAGTCACTGAGCTGCCTCCTATAGAACGTCTGTTTAGCTGGCTGTTGTGACCCACTAAATAGCCACCTTTGGAACTTCCCCCCTTCCCCCACCCTCCTTGTTAGGGATATCCAGAACCTCTCTAGGGCCGCGACACAATGGCCCATGACACAATGCTGGCCGACCTCTCGAATCATCTATCACAGATAGGCTCTAGCCTTGTTCCCCTCGGCCTCCCTCTCAGGAAAAACACTCGAGGCTAACAATCGCGCGCTAGTGAGGGACACAATCACATTCCTCTTGTCGTCGCTTGTGATTGTAAGAAATGATGCCAGTTATGCCTTTAATGAAAGAAAAATAGGCCTGGAAAACACAACAGTCCAAGGTAAACAACTCGTGGCTCGGTCTATTTTGATGAGTTATTCGCCATGTTATCGGGTTTTTCACCCACGATTCACTGCTCGATTTTAAGTCCTACAGAGGATAAAAAAAATAACTGACTAGATTGGGTGAGTTTCGGGTTGGGGCGGGGGCGGGGGAGTTATTGAAAATCGGGGACGTAAGGCCGTTTTGTTGGGAGGGGGGGGGAGTGTCCGCTTCAATACAGCTCTGATTAGGTGTAATAGATTTACTTCAGCCTTTAGCAATTTTCTTGTTTTAACATCCCGATTTCAAAGTCCGTGTTCATATTTTCTTCTTGAGAGATCTGCTGTAGCAGAGGCTTGCTTTGTCCACCTAGACACTCGTCCATCTCTTGTGTAGCTTCTCAGATCTCAGTTTCTGTTAGGACTTGTGTAAGACAGTTTCGTTGTCTAGTTATCTTACTGACACTGATACAAGGCGTGGCTAATTGAATTCGTTCAGTCAATTATCATTTTAACCTGTATCTTTTACACTTACAACTTTACTAGCATACGTACGTTCTATTCACCATTATACACAATCCCATATCTTTCTCTATACCAGGGGTCTCCAAACTTTTCAGTCCGAGGGCCGCATTAACTATCAAATTTCAGTTGGGGGGCCAGTTTCTTCCATGCATGTCTTTGCTTTTTCTGCGCAAAGTTCCTCATCATCACCAACAAACAATTTTTTCTTGGACAAAAAGATCTCCGCGGGCCGGATGAGAGGACTTCGCGGGCCGCATACGGCCCGCGGGCCGTAGTTTGGAGACCCCTGCTCTATACCATTGTATGAAAAATGTTTGACTGCTATATCCTACATTTTTCTATGTATCACTTGCTCTTTGTTTTCCATACACCTCAATTCATTTTTCATACTGCATCTTTTTATTCTTATTCATTAACAATTTAAAAAAAAAGTCTTTGAAAAAAAAATTAACTATCAGCTGATAATGTTTACATTATGTTACATTTTTTTATGAACTTGAAATCTCTACGAACTGGTGTACACCTAGGTTATCATTCATACACTTGAGAGCAAATGAGGCATTAACCTCTCTACTGATTGCTGCTAATTACATGGCAGATTTGTATCATTCGTTCTCCCGGTAGACTTATAGTAAAATACTCGCATAATCAGTCATCGCTAGCTTTAATGCCTCCATATTGACTTAACAAATGACTTCAGTAGAAACTAATTGGAAAGACAAACTCCATTCCTGAACCCAGCCGCTAATATGTCAGTTTCTTAGTTCTCATAGGTGAATCAGTTAATGCCTTGATTGGGCTGTAATTAAACACATTATGTCGTGTTTGTCTTTTAACCTGTTAAATTATCAAAGCGTTTAATTCTTTAAAATCATTTAGTCTTAGTGCTTTTAAAGAGAGAAATATGTTATTTTTTTTTTTACATTTGGTTTTTATACACTAGTATATAGATCTATATGTTTACGTAGTTCTTTGCTTTAGAAAATCAAAGATACTGGTTGCTTATATATCCCTACGTATTGTATGCATATCTATAGTAAAAAGCAGTGAGTGATAATTGATTAATTTAAAAAAAAAATAGTAGAACTATAGCTAGAACATACTATTTATCAACGAGCAATTTACAAATAAAAGTTAGGTGGGTACAAATTACTTGCGCAGTATATCGAGCAGGGAATGATGGTTTCATCAGTCTAATTTTATGTATAGAGGCTGTACAAATGACAGCAAGCTCCGAATATTTATCAGTGAGAGATAACAAATGTAAGTGATTTGAAGTGATTTAAAGGGATATTGCTAGCACAGAAATAGTACACAGGGTAAACCCGCACACCTTGACATTTGGATGATGTGATCTCTCCCTCTCTGCTTGTAGTTCTGCATGCTGCTCTTTATGTTCCATTAACCATTTGCTTAATCACACCTCTAATATATTCAGTTATTTAACTATTTATTTATTAATACATGGCTTTAAAATATATATCTATATATCCCCATTTGGCTTGGATGGTATGCTCGTCGTATAGATACGGCTGTAGTTTTATGTTGTCGTGGTCCTTCATTGCTTTTGTCTGTTGTTGGTTCAAGGATGATGGCGACTTTTGTATGGGAAAGGTGAAATTATCATTTCAACAAAAATCGTTTGAGCAGATTTTGAGTGATGTAGGTGTGATACTAGCTGTATTCGTAGTCATTACATCATTACCGAAGCGGTTTTTTTAAGTACTACTTTTAAAAAAAAATTAAAATAGAGCCGATTTTTTTTAGCCAGTCTGTGAAATAGATTTAAAAAGAAAATGAGAAAGAAAAGAAAACTCAAAGTCTGTTTCGATTTTTGTATTGTAGGGGAGCGCAAGTACATGTGCAAGTTCTGCGAGAGAGGGTTTAAGCAGCTTTCCCACTTACAAAAGCACACCCGAATCCATACTGGTATGTACAACCCCACTCACATCCTCTGTCTCACACACCACCCTCTCAGTGCTCAGAGACTTTATACTTCATCCACACACACAATACTCACATTAACTGCAGGTTTTTTAAAAAAAAGATTTTACTTGTTGTAAATATAACCGTATATTTTCATTTAAAATCAGGAATTGAGGTTTTTTTTTTGCAAGTTTTTTTTTTTTAGTTTTCTTTAGATATTAATTAAATGTAAGTATAACTGCTTGTCTAATTTTTGAAAATAATTCTAAATCTCGTGACATTTTTTATTATTTTTAAAATTACAAATTTTCACTGCGGTGAGTCTAGGGGTTAAATTATACAAACTTTAAAGAACAAAACACGGCGGATGTTTCTGAGAGAGGTCTCCCGACGTTGACCATATGATGACGGAGCTATATCGGACGTTGACCATATGATGACGGAGCTATATACCATATGATGACGGAGCTATATCGTCCAGCGGACGTTGACCATATGATGACGGAGCTATATCGCACAGCGGACGTTGACCATATGATGACGGAGCTATATCGGACGTTGACCATATGATGACGGAGCTATATACCATATGATGACGGAGCTATATCGTCCAGCGGACGTTGGCCATATGATGACGGAGCTATATCGTCCAGCGGACGTTGACCATATGATGACGGAGCTATATCGCCCAGCGGACGTTGACCATATGATGACGGAGCTATATCGTCCAGCGGACGTTGACCATATGATGACGGAGCTATATCGGATGTTGACCATATGATGACGGAGCTATATCGGACGTTGACCATATGATGACGGAGCTATATCGCCCAGTGGACGTTGACCATATGATGACGGAGCTATATCGCCCAGCGGACGTTGACCATATGATGACGGAGCTATATCGCCCAGCGGACGTTGACCATATGATGACGGAGCTATATACCATATGATGACGGAGCTATATCGCCCAGCGGACGTTGACCATATGATGACGGAGCTATATCGTCCAGCGGACGTTGACCATATGATGACGGAGCTATATACCATATGATGACGGAGCTATATCGCCCAGCGGACGTTGACCATATGATGACGGAGCTATATCGCCCAGCGGACGTTGACCATATGATGACGGAGCTATATCGTCCAGCGGACGTTGACCATATGATGACGGAGCTATATACCATATGATGACGGAGCTATATCGTCCAGCGGACGTTGACCATATGATGACAGAGCTATATCGGACGTTGACCATATGATGACGGAGCTATATCGGACGTTGACCATATGATGACGGAGCTATATCGGACGTTGACCATATGATGACGGAGCTATATCGGACGTTGACCATATGATGACGGAGCTATATCGTCCAGCGGACGTTGACCATATGATGACGGAGCTATATCGCCCAGCTAACGTTGACCATATGATGACGGAGCTATATCGTCCAGCGAATGTTGACCATATGATGACGGAGCTATATACCATATGATGACGGAGCTATATCGCCCAGCTAACGTTGACCATATGATGACGGAGCTACATCGCCCAGCTAACGTTGACCATATGATGACGGAGCTATATCGGACGTTGACCATATGATGACGGAGCTACATCGGACGTTGACCATATGATGACGGAGCTATATCGGATGTTGACCATATGATGACGGAGCTATATCGGACGTTGACCATATGATGACGGAGCTATATCGCCCAGTGGACGTTGACCATATGATGACGGAGCTATATCGCCCAGCGGACGTTGACCATATGATGACGGAGCTATATCGCCCAGCGGACGTTGACCATATGATGACGGAGCTATATACCATATGATGACGGAGCTATATCGTCCAGCGGACGTTGACCATATGATGACGGAGCTATATCGGACGTTGACCATATGATGACGGAGCTATATCGGACGTTGACCATATGATGACGGAGCTATATCGCCCAGCGATCGTTGACCATATGATGACAGAGCTATATCGGACGTTGACCATATGATGACGGAGCTATATCGGACGTTGACCATATGATGACGGAGCTATATCGCCCAGCGATCGTTGACCATATGATGACAGAGCTATATCGGACGTTGACCATATGATGACGGAGCTATATCGTCCAGCGGACGTTGACCATATGATGACGGAGCTATATCGCCCAGCTAACGTTGACCATATGATGACGGAGCTATATGGTCCAGCGAATGTTGACCATATGATGACGGAGCTATATACCATATGATGACGGAGCTATATCGTCCAGCTAACGTTGACCATATGATGACGGAGCTACATCGCCCAGCTAACGTTGACCATATGATGACGGAGCTATATCGGACGTTGACCATATGATGACGGAGCTACATCGCCCAGCGGACGTTAAACGGCCGGATCAAGGGGTGATCAGCCTGTCCCGCACGCCTCCATCTCTTTGGCAAGGAACGTTGATTAAACTTCCTAACGTAGATTCCGCCTCCCTGAAAAGAGGATTAGCTTTAGATAGGCTTAAATCCTCCCCACCGGCTCGTCTAAACGTTCTTTGCCTGCTGACTTTCTCTTTCACCTCGCGATTATTATTTATGATCTCAGGTTCCTAGGGCAACTGACAACACGCGCAATATAGGGAGCAGTTTTCACGCGACCAACATGAACTTAATTTTTTTTTTAAAAAGCCCTTTAAATTCCTTCTTCGTAGTCTCGGCTTATTGTTAAACTGAGAAACTTGATACAATTTTGTGATTTTAATTTTTTTTTCTTTTTTTTTTTCTTTTTTCTTTTGAATTTTAAAAACAACGTTACTTGTTAGTTCTATCCCGAGCCCGTATGGTCAGGTTAACGTCCCGTGTTTTGTTCTTGAGTGATCTACCAACACCAACTGTAGATTCAGACATTCTCTAAGTAATACACAATCATTACAATGATACATTTTACCTCTCTCTATTTCTATATAGGCCATGCAGCTTTAGATTCAGACATGTTCTCTAAGTAACACACAATCATTACAATCATACATTTTACCTCTCTCTATTTCTGTATAGGCCATGCAGCTTTAGATTCAGACATTGTAGTTGTAATCAACTGTATTTTTAGATCCAGACATTTCAGCTCCTAGACATAATCTCACGAATCTTCAGGTTCAGACAATTCAGCTCTCAAATATCTGTTCATATATTACATCGTCTCGACTTTCTCTTTAAAGTTCAGCAATAATTAGTCTATTCTCACTTACATCTACATTGCTTTCAATAATTAAATCTTGTTTTTATTCATTTTTTTTTAAATATTTTTTTTTCTTCTCTCTGGAATCGTTGAAAAAACTCAAATATAATTTTTTTTTTTTTTTTTTTTACTTCTTCTCCCTGGAATAGTTTAAAACAACACCACAACTAACACACCTGTATCAAACACACTAGAGCACACAGCCCCCATTGAACACACATGTGTGTATATTTACTCTTGTTATCTTCCCATCCTGACCTAAACGACACAGGCGACACAGCACCGCCCAGTGACGACGACCAAAAGCATGCTAATGTGCCAGCAACACGCCAGCAGGACATATCCCGTACTATACTGCTTTAAGCATGTTTCTTTTATTTTTTTATTTTATGTACTCTTCTGCTATTGTGGTTCAATTTTACAAACATTTTTAAAAAAAATAGTATTTTATGTTTTTTAATGTTGTGTATACATGTATGCATGCCGTTTTTAGTGTTTCCTTTATCCCATGTAATCACTTCTATAGATTCTTGCAGATCTTTTTGTAGATGCCAGACTTACTTATTTATGCATTCATTTCTTACATGTCATTTTGTTTTAGCACCTTTTCTTTACATGCATTGTTTTGTATTTTTAAAGAAATGTATCTAATTATACGTAATTGTTAATTAACTAAAAATAATATCTATCATCTGGTGTTTGTTTAGCGTTTATGTGAGAGATCGAGAGATTTTCGATGAATTTCTGTACACAGTCCATCACGTCGGCGTACATTTTATAACTTACTGAGACAGGGTTTTATACAAATAAAACTAGATAAAAAAAGTTCATTTTTTATTTATTTATTTTAAAGTGAATGGTTCCCCGTAGTGTGATTCCCATCTCGGGGTTTTGAGCTGGTGAAAGTTTTCTTCCAGCCGGGCTGGTTGTATGCTGGGGTGTAGTGTGAAACAGGAGCCGTGGAATAACTGTAAACACGGTTTCCTGGCTAGCACCGTTACTAGTCCATTTGCTCCTTCAACACTACACTCGCTTATCCGCCCTTGCCGAGGTTTTCATTAGCTCACAGATCACGTGATCGGGGGGAAAAGGGGGGAGGGTAAAAAATACCGGAGAATATTTTGATCATGTGAGGCTTGGAGTAGTAGAATAAATAATTGGGAAGGGGGGAAAGGGAGAGGGGGTGAATTGAAAATGTATTGGTTAAGTTCGATTTGATGAGTTGGGTAAAGTAGTTGGTCGAGTAAGTCACATAGCTAACCCTGTGTGTGAGTGGGGCGCTTTGCACCGTTTTACCTTCCATTAGAGGAGTTCCCCCGCGCACCCGGGGTGTTGCTCCTTGCCTGAGTGGAGATCTGTGGGTGCCATTAGGCCAACTACTTGATGCCACTCGCAAATGTGGCCACTTTCTTTAGCAACCTTTGGCAGGCACATTCGATGTGTGTGTAGTATATAGTCTGCATATATATATATATATATATATATATATATATATATATATATATATATATATATATATATATATATATATATATATATATATATACTTACACATGTGTATTTTATAGTGTAAATATATTCTATTACTAAAATTCACAATAAAATCACCAATTCTGTAGCTTTTCGCATATTCAAACAAACAGACACATTTTCGTAGTGTAAAATAAATGTAGGCAATGCTGCTGTCGTCGAATGCCAAGTAAATTGGCTCCAATTGAAAGTAATGCAGTTTCTCGAGGATGGTTTTGGGTGAGCGTATCTAGTAGACTAGCGCCACCCATGGTGAGTTCTTCACACATCTGTTGGAGCATGCCACGAGCTTCGTCTGCAGAGGGACAAGTTTGGGGAGGGTGGGGGGGGGGGGTTTAGTTACGTGGAGGGTGGAAAAAAAGTCGCTGTTCAATATTAGGGTGGGATGGGGCAAATATTTTAAAATAAACAGTTGATGTTTATTTGTAGTTTTTTTTTTTTTTTTTTTTTTTTTAACTCCGCGTTACTGCTATGATTTGGTATCTTCAGTGTTGGTAGTCATAACGTGTTCGTAGACATAATATTAAAAAACGAATAGAATCACATACTTGTGTTGTGAGTTGGTGGAGTTTTTACAGCTTCAAAAAGAACTTGATAGAACAAAATCAACACGGTCCATAATTGGTTTTAAAAATAGCAGTAGTCCCCGGCCGGTTTTGACCCGATGGTTTATATAACAAGCTGAGGGGAGGGGCAGTAATGTCTTGACGACGTAGGCCATCAACGATAGGGGCAGTCGTGACTTGAAGGTGATACGGGCCCACAAGTGTGATGTAAAATATCCCGCCCGGACTGGTTATAGAAACAGTAAAGGGAAACAACCAAAGAAAATAGTCATTTTTTTTTCTCTCTCTCGTTTCTTCGTTACACTAGCCACGCCACGGAGTCGAGAGGTATTAAATGAATTCTCTTTATTTATTTTAGAGAATATAAGGACGAGTTACCGTTCCTGGTGCCACGCTCGACCCGCTTCTACTATCAACACACGCGCGCTCTTAATTTTAAACAAATATTTTTTATTCATTTACTTTTAGATTGATGCAAAAACCTGGTAATCCCCCCCCCCCCCCCCCTTCTCTTGACTTTTATTAGGATTTTTTAAAAAAATCCTTCAGCATTAACTCTGCAATAGGAGAGATTAAGCCACCCCCTCCCCCCCCCCCCCCCACATCACCATCTAACTTACATCAGTCAATTGTTTCAATGATTATGTGGATTAGTAATCACATTTGTGTCCTGTTTAACTTGATGTCCAGACAAGGAGATTAACTTTAAAAAAAAAACAACTGGAGTTGAAACTTTTTTTTAACTTACCCACGTATTTTTATTAAAAGATTCTGTGACACACTCACCTACATTTTTTCAGATTAACATATATCATGTTTTATCAGATAACTTTAGATGTCTTCGGTATTATTTAAACAGCATTGTGGTTTTTTTTTTTTAAACAAAGCTGGACAGATGTGCGACGGAACACATTTTCTTACAGCACATACACCAGATTTATTGTCCCTGCTCGTTTATTCTGTGTTTATTTTCAATTCGTTGCTTTATGTTTTATGGAAAGAAAAAAAATATATTTTTTTTTTGCTTGTATATTAGAGTGGTGGGAATCACAGGATTTCCAATGTCATCCATTCATCTTTTCATCTCTCATCAATATAACATCATTGCGTTTTTTTTTTTCGTTTTATTTTTATTACCTTCGAAAATTTTGTTTCGTCAAATTTTGTTCCCGCGTTTTTTTTAATGCATGCCTACAATGCAAAAATTGCTGATACAGACGTTTGTGTTTTTGAGTATGACTCTAGATGTGTCTTTTCTTATGTTACCGCTTCATGAATATCCACACTTGTATATTACAACCCCTTTCCTCCATGTACAGCAGTAGATGGCCTTGTAGCAAAGTGTCCCCACCCCCCCTTCAATAACAACCGTAGTAAAGGGGACTAAAGCAACAGTGGAATTCGTCATTGAAAAGTTCATCTCTAGAAAACTTCCATCAGACTTTTCAGCAGTCTAGCCAATTTTTTTTTCCACTTCGGAAATGTTTCCTCTCCCTTCCCTTAAAAATAATAATTGAAAAAATATGAACATTGAAGTTTTAGATGTAAGGGGGGAAGGGGGGAGGTCTAAACACAATGGAAACCACTTTTGCTTTAAAGGTGTGAAAGCTGTGAATAAGAACAAATGTATATCTTGCCTGCATCTTCTATTGTGTTCCTTCTCTGCTGTTTTCACATATACTCTAACAACGTTAGGGAAAAATTCAGTTTAAATAAATTAATTAAAAAAAAAATATATATATCAGTATAATTAGAGAAAATATTAAATTAAGTAAATCTTTTAAAAAAAAGTAAATTTCTGATTTTATTAATTCTAAAAGTAGTATTAATTGGTAGTTGTCACCAATAGTTAGGGTTAGGGTAAAAAAAATGCAAACCTTTTAGGGAAAAAATAGAACCACTTGGGGTTGTATCACAATGAAATTGTGAACTAAAAGAAAGACAGTCTGCCAAAGAGTCAAACTCAAAACAACCAAGCTGTTTTATCAATTTTTGTCTTGTAGGAGAGCGCAAGTACATTTGTTCGCTCTGCGATAAGGGATTCAAGCAACTTTCCCATTTGCAACAGCACTTCCGCATACATACGGGTGAGTGCAATGTGGTGAAACTATTACTCTAGCAGTGCTTTTATTTCAAGTCTATTTGTATAGAATGAATCTTTCAAAGAATTGTCCATATGATCAAAGAAGTGGTCAGGTGTTTTTAATATATTTATTTTTAAAAAATACTGAATAAGTTTTTAAAAAATTAACTAGAATAAATTTATGAAAAAAAATGATTCAGGTCATCCTATATATTTATTTGAAAGAATTTTTTTTAAAATGTGGTGGAGCAGTTTTGCAAGAAGTATAATAAAATAATTATCAGTGTTTGGATATTGTCTTATTAAGTTTAAACAAGTTTTCTTCATTGAAAAAGTGGTGAAAACCCCTTTATGTCCAAAAGCGTAGTGTATCTCTTGTAATGATCTTTAATCTTAACATACTGACTGGAAACACGTACACTTTAAAATCAGAATATCTCAAGAGGTTGGTTAATCTAACCTGCTTGGTGTTAAGTCTTGATTAGCTCCTCCAATGAAGGTTTATTGTCAAAATACATTCCCTGGCATTTTTTTTTAATAATGACACAAATTGTCAAGGTTATAAAAAAAGCTCTGAAGGTTAGAATTTCAAACAAAGTTAAAATATTTTTTTAGTCATTCGTGCTGTAGCGTTGGTTTTTTTTTTATGTGGACTAGTGTTACTTTAGATAGACACTGACCTACCAAGTTTTTTAATCTATTTAGGTCAAAAAATCTTTAAAAAGTCGATTATCTTATTTAGACCTAATGTTCACTTTCCCACCATTCTTCTTCACAGTTTGGGGATATGCACTTAGAATTTATATAGTGATAAAAACGAACACGTTTTTTTAATCACTGCTTTATTGTAAGACAGTGAGGTGTTGAGGAGTTATTTTACCCTAGGAGCTAGCTTATGATTTGACTGTCTTTTAAGTTTTGTTGACACCGCACTCGTCTTGTTTTTCCCAGACGAGCGCAAGTACATCTGTTCTTGTTGTGAGCGGGGATTTAAACAGCTTTCACACCTACAGCAACATTTTAGAATTCATACTGGTGAGTTTTTTCTTCAAGGTAGAAGCCGTCCACCTCCCCCCCCCTCCCGCTATCTTGTCAAACCTGTCCTGGTCCTACTAACAATCTGTAGCCTGCGTGGTTTGTTGGCTGTTGTCCTTGTGCTTGAACCTTAGCTGGGGCAGGTTTGACGCTACCAGTAGTTAGTGGTAGGGCTTCTGTGGACGTGTTTAACCCTACACTGGCCACATTATCAGTACAATGTTAAAGAATGGTACTGTTTGCAAAATTTGTGGAGTTGTTTCTGTCCACACCTGGAGCATGACATTAAAGAAAGGTAGAACTTAAAAAATCTGTGGGCACATTTAACCCTGCACATGCCAAATTCAGAGAATCCTGTGAAAGGAAAGTATGACTAGAGAAATCTGTGGGCACATTTAACCCTACATAGACCAGATTTGGAGAATCCTGTTAAAGAATAGTAGGACTAGAGAAATATGTGGACACATCGAACCCTACACATGCCAAAGTCAGAGAATCCTGTTAAAGAATAGTAGGACTAGAGAAATCTGTGGACACATTTAACCCTACATAGACCAGATTTGGAGCATCCTGTTAAAGAAAAGTAGGACAGAAAAATCTGTGGGCAAGTTTAACCCTACACAGGCCAAATTCAGACTATCCTGGCAAAGAATGGTATAGGCTTGAGATATCTGTTCAGTGGCTCACATTTATCCCTACATTTAACCTCACACCCTGGCCAACCTTGTAGCATCAAACCCAGCCATTCATTGCATGTCATTAACCCTAACAAAAAAAAACTTTCTCAAGTTCAACAACAGATCTCCACCAGGATTACATTCTAATACACCCAGCTATAGCTTAACTCTAGTGATGTGGGGAGGGGGTGAGGAGAGAAAGGCACCCCTCCTCTCCCTCACAAAAGATGGTTACAACTATTGTTATGTAAATGAGTTTTCTCATTTCCTGCATGGTCTTAAAAAGACAATTGATCCAGCTGTTTCAGCTGAGGCTATGCTGTACCTGGCCCTATAGGGGCTGTTGCATTGGAATGTAGTTACCCAGGAGATATCTCAGTGGGGTAGACAGGAGGATTACATTAAAAATGTCAAGTGAAACATCAGCAGATCATTTTTTCCAGAATTTTTATTTCAAGTATTGCTGCACTTTCATTTAAACATTTAAATTTATCAAAATCTTCCATGAAGTATTTCATTTTTAAAACAATTTTTAACATTATAAAGAATATCTTGGAAAATAAGATACAAACCTGGCTAAAATTATTCATATCAAATCATGAGACAAAATATTTCAAAAGCGTTCCACTATTAGATCTCATGATAGAGTAGTGATAAATGAACCAGCTCGTACAAGTTCAGTTAAAGCTGGTATACAATCATTTAAAAAAGTAATTCCGTATGAAGTTTTTGCTGCAGTAATCATAGCAACTTCACCAATGCTGGCACATTTAAAGTTGGCCTCTCATTAGGATTTCAAAGGCAGTTGTTTTTTTAGAACTAACTCAAGATCAGTTCTACCATGGTTTTTGTTAGAACTAACTCAAGATCATGCCCACAGAAGTTCTACCATGGTTTTATTAGAACTAACTCAAGATCATGCCCACAGAAGTTCTACCATGGTTTTATTAGAACTAACTCAAGATCATGCCCACAGAAGTTCTACCATGGTTTTATTAGAACTAACTCAAGATCATGCCCACAGAAGTTCTACCATGGTTTTATTAGAACTAACTAAAGATCATGCCCACAGAAGTTCTACCATGGTTTTTGTTAGAACTAACTCAAGATCATGCCCACAGAAGTTCTACCATGGTATTTGTTAGAACTAACTCAAGATCATGCCCACAGAAGTTCTACCATGGTTTTTGTTAGAACTAACTCAAGATCATGCCCACAGAAGTTCTACCATGGTTTTTGTTAGAACTAACTCAAGATCATGCCCACAGAAGAAGCTTTACCACACCTTATTGTGGTGTTGCTGTTCTTGTATCAAAAATATATGTTGTTGTTTGCTTCTTCTTCCAGGTGAGAGAAAATATGTTTGTCAGCTTTGCAACCGTGCATTTAAACAAATGACGCATTTACAGCAGCACCATAGAATTCACACTGGTAATAGCCTGGCTGTCCCCACCCCCTCCTTAATACTAGCTTGTTATTTCAGTTTCTTGCATGCAGCAGATTTGGTTTTGTTGTGTGAAAAATGCTGCCAGTCATCTTGAAGCATTTTTAGATGAATACGACTTGTTTCTAAATTCAAATTCCCGTGTGTGAACCCCTTCATATGTTCACAAAATTCTGACATCTTTTTTTTAATCGTTTAGCATCCTTAGATAGTTTTATGTTTGCACATGTTTGTTTTTGTCACGACAACCTTGATGTAATCACGCGCATGAACAAAAATCGAGCGTCTACATTGTATTTATATATACAAAGCAATAGTTTTTTTTCCCATCACAGTCATGGCTGATGATTTCCATATTTGGAATTTTTGTGTTTATAAAATCCCCTGAATATTTTTGTATTTATTTTTTAGTGTTGGCTTGGTAAAAAAAAAATGTGTAGTTAAATTTTTTCAGACCCTTAAATTTTTTTTTAGAAGATAATACTGGAGGAACAGGCCCAGTGTGTACGCCAATTTGTCTATGTATATATAACATATACTGTATTCTCGATTTTTGTTTTCTCTTCATAGGAGAACGCAAGTATGTTTGCCAGATATGCAATCGTGCATTTAAGCAAATGACACACTTGCAGCAGCACCATATCATACACACGGGTAAATACCTTGGGCTATACTGTAAACTGCTTTATTTTGGGACATTGATAATAATTAGGCGAGCTTAAAAATATTTTTCTTGAAATATAATAGAATTATAGAAGTTTTATTTTGAACTTTGAAAATTGTTTTTTAATGTTGGAACTTGACAGTGATCATCTAAAGGAAATTTTTTGCAATATTTTCATAGGAAAAGATTATTTGTACACAAAAAGTTTTGTTTAAGATTGTCAAATCTACACGAAAAATCGTAAAGTCACCTAGCTTTAAATCTAATCAATGCAACGAAAAAATTAAAACCATTTAGAATTTTATTAAGCATGTAAATACCTTGTAAAAATGAGTCCCATGAATATGAAGATAAAAATAGAGGGGTTTACAGTGATTATTCTGTGTGTTTGTGAGAATGGTGTTGGACATACACGTTTTACACTAGATCATTCTGTTGGCACTCTACAGAAATCGAGCTTACAACCTGTCAATTTAGTTTTTTGTCTATCGTTTTTTTAATTCCTTAAATTTTTGTTGATTCAAGTTTAAAATAAAGCAATACATCCTCAAAAAAAGTGATTTGGTTCTTTGCAAAATTCGGAAAGCTTTATTTTTTTTTTTCATTTTAGTGTTTTTAACACAAGCTGAGGAGGGAGGAAAAATAGTAGTTGAGTAATCTCGATTTTTGTCTTTCCTCACTTAGGAGAGCGCAAGTACATTTGCCAAGTTTGCAATCGTGCATTTAAACAAATGACACACTTGCAGCAGCACCATAGAATTCACACAGGTAAAAAAAAAAGCTCTGGAGATTGCTTGTGTACACTGACCCAAGGATCTAGCACTGGTCAAAGTGTTAAAAATTTTGTAAATGCTCACACCAAAACCATGTACCGTCTTGAAGTGTGCTGTTAAAACATATTAAGCTCAGTTTGAGCTAGTAAGAGAATGATACAAAAACATGACATCCTTTGGTCAGATGTTATACAATGTACCTCAGTGTAACAGTATGTGCGTGTGTGAACGTGTTGGTCCAACGTGTTTGTCATAGTATGTATTTACTGGTGTTATTAGCAGTAAACACACACAGTTTAATCATTAGAAATTTTTTTTTTAATGCTATCAGCTTTTTAAATTGTTTTAAAAATCTTCAAGTTATGTGGTTGCTTACAAGGTATTTCATTGTGAAAAAATTCTTATCAGAAATTTTTGTGTTAATGATTTATTCCAATCCACCGATGAATATTCTTGCACATTTGATCATATTAAAAAAGGGATGTTTTGTACAAGAGATATAACCTAAGTAAGAAGTTTAATCTCTCATGGTGCTTCTACCCTTCAATCATAAGGACAACTTAGAGATGTAACATTTCCTATTTTTTTTTCTAGGAAATTTTATTTTTTCGCTTCAAAGTAAATTTTTTACTGAAAATTTTATGTACAAAATAAAAATAAAACCATTGTTTTTTAATTTTTATTGACATTAATTTTTTCTTAAAATCTCAAATTCCCACTTGGGAAACTTATTGTCAAAATATATCAATGCACCCTGCTTCTGACAGAGAGAGTTCTATTTATTTAGGCGGTCAGTTGCATCTCTATGTAATTATGCACCTCTTCATGTCCAGCTCTGAAAAAGAAATGTCTACTCTCCTTTTTTGTCTTTTCTCCCCTAGGAGAGCGCAAGTACGTTTGCCAGATTTGCAATCGAGCATTTAAGCAATTGACCCATTTACAGAAGCACCATGTTATTCACACTGGTAAATAGTAGGACCTTTCTTTCTGTGTCTGAAGTGTTCTCGGCAGTCTTTTAAATTCAAGTTTTTGTGTGAATGTTTTTGTCGACAAAAATCGAGGTTGCTTATTTTTGAGTCTGACACATCTGACACTGAAATGTGTGATAACAAAACTAAAAAAAAAAACAAAAATTTCTTCCAAAATGTACCGCATGGTTTGCTCAAAAACTCAACTTTTTATATGATCATTGTTGTTAAAACAATTTCCAACATATAAATTTTTTTGGTAGTGGAAAATATGATTATGCTTTAAATATTATCTTTGATATTGTTAAGTGGATTAACAAACCTTATTTTCTTCTCATTATAATCACAGTAATAGAATTCTGGAAAAAATATTAATCCTGTGAAATCAGACTCGAAAAAAAAAGTAATCTCGATTTTTGTATTTCATCTATAGGGGAGCGCAAGTATGAATGTCAAGTTTGCAATCGTGCATTTAAACAAATGACACATTTGCAGCAGCACCATAAAATACATACTGGTAACTTGTATTTTTGTCTCTCTGTTTTGAAAGTTTTGTGAATGTTTTGTTTTGTTATATATTTCATGTTTTCATTTACTTATGACTTAAAACCTAATTAGACGGCATTTTCCATTAATTCCAAAAATATAATTTCTCTTTTGTGTTTCTGGTTATTAAAATTAATTGTTTCTACTTATATGCAGAGAAATTTATTTGGAAATGATTTTAACCAAATTTTAAAGTAGTAATTTTGTCACCATTAATGACTTATTATGAATTATTAAGCTTAGGGTTAGCTTCTATTTTTAAGTAGGTCCTAAGAATAACTTTTTAAAGTTTAAAAAGAATTAATAAAGTATTTTTAACTTTCTTCACAGGAGAGCGCAAGTATATTTGTCAATGTTGTGATCGTGGCTTTAAACAGCTGACCCACCTCCAGCAACACTACAGAATTCACACTGGTAAGGTTTCATTGTGGAGTCAGAACAACCCGTCTGCTGGCAACCTAGTGCTAGAACCTCAGTAAACTTCACACTACATTAAAAATTGTAACATAGAAAAAAGAATATCTTAATTCTGTGAAGTTTAGTATAATAGAGATCTTTTTGGGTAGTGGATAGTTATCGCCTCCTTATTGAGACATATTATCAATTACTTATGCCAGTGCTAAGGTTGGCAAACATCACACTGATTGCCGAGAAAATATATTTATTTAGAAATTAAACAAAAGTCTGCTGCATGATGATTTAAAGTGTATTGTATTTCTAATGTACTGAAAAGTAAATTTGTTGAAAATAAAATTTGTCAATCTCAAACATGCGTTCAATTTTTTATCTGCACATTTTTTTTTGCAAATAGCACATTTTGTTGTTATGTCCGTTATTTCTAATTTACTAATTGAGCTTCTGTGCTGTTCAAAAATACATTTTTTTACATGTCATTTTATATTTGATTTGCATCCTTTTCTGTTGGGCTGAGCTAGTTAACATACAGTTCATCAATAGCTTTTTAAAAAAAATTTCAGTTTCTTGACTCTGTTAGTGCTGTTTATGTATTGATTAAAAAATGATTGTAGTTTTTGTTTTACAACCCTGCCACAAAAATAACAGGACTAAAACTGACTGAGACTGGTGCCAAGAAACTTTTCTTTTCCTCTACGCTTCATTTGTTTCTTGCTACATAATTGTCATGAAAAATACTAATTTTTTTTTTTTACATTTATATATTTTTGTTATATTACATCTTGTTTATTAGGTTTTTGAACTCTTGTTTTACTTAGTAAAGAAAATTTTTATAACTTAAATAGTACAAATATCTTCATAATTCTTTTTCTAGATGCTTCTCGTCCATTTTCTATTTCCAATTCACTTAGGTGCAGACTTAACACTTTTCTTACTGCCGAACCATTAATTTAAGATTGAATTTTTAAACCGCTCAAGTTCTACAGGACAAGATGAGAAATTAATTTCAGTGGACATAAAACATTGATGTAGAGTGTTGACATTTTTTGTGAAGTTTTTAAAAAATCTTTCCAAAACATAAATTTTAAGCAAATATTACGTTAAATTGTTTTTTTTTTAAAAAAGTGTAAAGATGCACTATTTGGTCCATTGTGGTAACTGCTATTTTAACTATGTGTGACCAATTTTTTTTGTTTTGTTTTGTAGTTTAAAAAGAAAATTTAGGCATGAATTTTATTTTTCTGTTTGATCAGTCACACTCACATCTGTGTTTTTTTCTATCCCCCGAAATTTTTTTTCTTTTATTCTCTCTCTTGTCTTGTAGACGAGCGGAAATACGTATGCCAGTGCTGCGACCGGGCCTTCCGCCAGCAGTCGCACCTTAACCAGCACTTCCGCATACACACAGGTAAGTGCTTGAGTGGTAGTTCCATACCTCCAGTCATAGCACATACACATCATCATCACTGCATCTTTCAAATGAACTTTTTTAAAGAAAAAGTAATCCTGAAACCGTTTTGAGATTTTATTTTATTTGTTTGTTTATACTTGTATATTTTTTTAGATTTTCATCCAGAGAAGTTCTATCCTCAGAAATCCAGAACTTTACAGTGTTTTATTTAAAAAAAAAAAATTTTCAACTTATACTTCTGTTATTTTTTTTTTTCTGAATTATGACTTTTCTATAGAATTATCATTTCATTTTAACCCTTCGGTAATTAAAACCATATAAAAAATCTTTTGATTGATGAAATGCATAGTATTTGTATAAATGCATTTTTTTGTTTTGATTTTAGGTTTTTGATTCATTGCACAAACACATACATTTGCTTCTCAAGTCATCCTGTCGCACTCATTTAATCATTTTGTTTTCAACAGATTTTTGTGATTGCTCTGAACCAAAAATTGCTAAATTATATTCAATAAATTTCCACTGATTTTTCGTACATTTTCTTCCCCCCTTATAGGTGAGAAGCCGTATCGATGTAAATTTGAGAACTGCGAGCGGGCATTTGCCCAGTTGTCCAATCTTCAACATCACATGCGTAACCATGACGACCAGGTAAAAAAAGAGGCCACTCGTATTCACAAATGTCAGATTTGCCATCGGTGCTACACAAACGAGAGCAGTCTGAAATCTCACACTCTCAAGGTTTGTTAGCCAGGGAATGTTGTTTGATCATTTGTTTGCTTTAAGATCACCAAAGCATGTATCATATCATGTAGATGTCTTGATGTAAAAAAAACAGCAACAAAAAATTGAATCTGAAATGTTTTTTTTCTTTCCTATCAAAAGTGCATATGTTTTTTTAGACTCATTGTCTTCATCAGCTGCTAAGTGTCTCATAGCTAGAAGCATTTTACATTCTGTTTGATTGTTTTATAGTTGTTTTTTTTTAATTGTGCTAAAAAAAAATCTGTTATGTTGCTCCGCTAAGATTTTTTTTTTACTTGTCATCAATGGTAAATTTGAAATAGTTATGATGCAGATTTTTGTCATGTAAGTTTATTTCCCTAACACTTCAACAAAAATAATTTTTTTCTCTTCATTATTAGATGCACATCCATATCAAGCCCATCGACCAACACCCACTCCCTACCCCAAAGAAAAGACGCAAGCGAAAGAATAAGGATCTGTATGGTGGCGCCCCGACCATGGTGCCAGTCTCCTCTTCCTCTGATGGGAACTTCAACAACGTCATGCAGGGCATGAAAGCAGGCGGCTCACGGACACGCAGCCCCACATCCTCTGACGATGATGAAATTATATTTGTAGGTGAGCAGATGGGTCCGCCACGCGTGGACAACTTCGGGGGTCCTGGAGGTGGGCTCGGTGGTCAAGGACAGATGCTGCAAGGTCCAGGCGGAAGAGGTCACGACCTCAGCCATCAATTACAATTCACTGGAATGGGAAACTTCTCTCGTGGTGCCGATCCTCTGGCGCTCCTGGCGTCTGCCAACAGGTTTACCCTCCAGGACAACATGATGTCCAGCCTGGGAGGGCCTCTCAACTCCTTTTCAGACCAGCTGGCGTTCAGAGATGCGGCTCTTCTCAACAGTCGTTTTGGTGATCTCAGAGGAGTCCCCGGCCAAGGCTCAAGCTTTGATGACAGGTTCTCATCAGGCAACTTCAACCAGCAGCAGCAACAACAGCAGCGGGACCGAGACGGCTTTGGGAACCACAATGACATTAACAGCCGGGCCAACAGCGCCTCCAACAGCGACAGCAACATGCAAGCACAAAACGGCAACGCCAACGAGAACCGGAACCAGATCCCCGCCCACAACCAAGGAATGATCCGAGGATCTGGGATGGGCGGCCTAGGTGGAAGCCTGGGCGGGATGATGCATGGGTCCGGGCAAGGGGGACTGGGGGGTTTGATGAAGCAGATTAAACAAGAACCTTTGGATTACTTCCCCTCTTCCTGCCACGGAGGGGATCAGTTTTCTGGGATGGGGGTCAACAGCGGCGGAGGCTTCCTGTCCCCCCAGCACCTGATTAACTCCCACCTGCGAGGCCAGTTGCCTTCCCTGAATGTGCCGCTGATCCGGGACCACTTCTCCCAGCACCAGATGCTGCCTCACTCATCTGCTTCTCCTGTCACCTCCTCCACCTCCGTCACCAACGTAGCTCCATCCTCCACCCCCTCCTCTCTTCCATCCAGCACCCCTTCCTCCTTGGCGTCCCTCCCCCTCCCCTTGTCTCACATGGGTCTCTATCACCAGTCCCATTTTTCCAGCACCCAGCGGATGGGAGGTCTCCACCCATCCCCGGCCTCCACCCCATCCAGCCAGCTGTCTGTGGGAGGGGCTAACCTTCCCAGTAACCTAAGCACTCAAGGGGGGCGATCCCCGCTGGAGCAAGAGGATCTGCGCTGCTTCTCTCCACTTCGAAACTGAGCTAAAAAAAAATGTGTACATGTTGAATTGACATTTTTTTGTTGAAAAAAAAAACCAAGCTGTAACAATTATGAGATGAGCACAAACTTTTTTAAATTTTATTTCTCTCATGCTTGAATTTAATGAAAAAAAAAATGACTGAAACATTGTTGGTTAAAAGGGTAATCTCCCTTTCTTGCTGTGAACCTCTGCCATACTAAGATGTTCCACCAGCTAAGAAATCAGCCTTGATCTCCCTGCCAAGACTACATATTAACTTCTAGTCCATTACACCAACTGGTGTGGCTCTTCACCAGAACTGCCATCTTACAGTGGATCCAACACAGTACCAGCTGGGGTGCAATGTAACTTCTAGTTTCTTTTATGTCTTGCATTTATGCTGACCAGTTATATAGCTTCGTAGAACTGTCAAAGATTTTTTCTGTGCATATTTTAGTCTAAAATGTATGTGTATTTATATGCTGTTTACGTGGTAATACATTTTTTTTTATCATTCAGTTTGGATAGTTGTAAATTGTATAGAATAATTTTGTTTTACCATCATCTACATTTGTTGACCAGTGAAGTTGAAACAAGAATTGAATTAGAGTACAAGCACCAACATATTTTTACTTTGTAAATCTTTTAAACTAACCTTATACAACGTTGTTTCAATTTATAAACCAATAGTTTCAATTCTTTTTTTCATCAATGTTGAAATATACCATGAATGCATCAGCCAGTATTTACAGAATTCAGTGTGCGACGAGGTGTTTACTTTTAATATATTTTCCCCCCTAATTTGGGCTACTTGTATATTTAATAATTTAAAGCAGTGTACTTCATCTTTAATATTTTACACATTTTTTTGTCGTGTTGATTTCTATCATAGACAATCAAAATTTTTATTTTTACCCTATGCTCTTGTGTGAGCTCATCATTGATTATTTTGAAGCAGATAACTCTAATCAGCTTAAATTTAGGTTGCTAAAAATGCTAAAGTTGTTACCCTTGTTGAGTCCTGTTGTAAAAATAGAGCCAAGAGTTTTAGTTTAAGGTGGTGTTGGCAAGTGAAACAGGTGTTATGGAAAATTTTATGGAAACTGTTAACATGGTGAAATTATTATGTTTACAAGTATGTATAATAATCATACACAAGTTTCTTGTTTTTAAAATCAAAACATAACTTTGATGATAGATCATGATTGGAATTTAAAAAAGAACTAGGAGTTTTGGGATATAATGCTAAAAAGTTTTGAAATTTTTAAATTAAAAATCTTTTAAAACAAGGTGGAATTATTGTATTATTCTTGTGTACATATTTCTATGAGCAGCAGATTTCAAGTATTATTTTAAGGTTTCGGTATATTTTCTTTTGGCCATATACTTAAATTAAGAAACAACACCAAGAGACTTATTTTCAATCCATTAGCTGGGATAGTTTGACTGACATCGACAAGCTAGAAATGTTTGAATCTTAATATGTGGTAAATAATACGCATTTATTTCCCTGTTGTAAAATAGGTCTTCAGCCAACTGAAGTAACATAAAAAATGGGTCTCCTTAGATCTCTATTAACAATAAATGTATGCCAAGTAAATATTCCGTTAATGAATGGCTGTCAGCTCTCTCTCTCTGTCTACTTACACCAACTTTGTATTTTTACCCCTGTCCCCAGCCTGTTACTGCTCAGTGCTGGACTGTAAATGGGATGTTCACATTTTAAGAATTTATACAGACTATACAATTTTAATTTCATCTGTGAACTACGGTTCTTTTTTCTTTTTTTTTTTTTTTTTTTTTTTTTTTTTTTGCATTTAGAATTTTTGTCATATACTACTAATCTAAACGTCAGCGTTATTTAATCTGTTGCTGTGAAATGAATATTGAAAACAAACTCAGAGAAGTTAAATGTTATTTTTTTTTTTAATTCCTGGACCAGTTTCTGTTCAAAGAGATTTTTGTTGTTTATAATTTTTACTGTAATTTCTTATCAGCATTGGAATATATCCTTTATTATGTGAATTAAACCTTGATAAGTTTATAACAAATAGAAAAAAATAACAGTTGAAAGCAAGAGAAGTCAGAGTAGTAGGTAGCTGGATGTGCATACACACTGATTGACTAACCAACCTATGTTGCTACTTTATGTTTGTTTCTTCATTGGCGCTGAAAACAAGAATTAGCTTTACCCTGTTTATGTTAGCGATTTTTTTTTTTTTTTAGGGAGAAATGTCTAATCTGACTCTTGAATGCTAACATATAATGTGTGTATATATCGAACTTTAATTATAGATTTTTATGTCATGTTCATTCAGTATGAATAATCAGTGTTATTATTTGTATTTTAAATTTAACTATGGAAAATGACTTGGTTTCTGTATATGAATGAATATAATTGATCTAAAAATATAATTGCTATGTGAATCCTTCCATTTCACCTGCATCCCTCCATGTCAAGCTCATAATGGTGCATGTCAAAAGCTAGTTGGTGAGTCTTAAAGAAGCTAAATGACCAGCTGTCATGTCAGATTAGTGACCAACTGTCCTGGGTCCTACCAGCTAAGTGACCAGCTGTCCTGGGTCCTATCAGATTAATGGCCGGCTCTCCTGGGTCCTATCAGATTAATGGCCGGCTGTCCTGGGTCCTACCAGCTAAGTGACCAGCTGTCCTGGGTCCTATCAGATTAATGGCCGGCTGTCCTGGGTCCTATCAGATTAGTGGCCAGCTGTCCTGGGTCCTATCAGATTAATGGCCGGCTGTCCTGGGTCCTATCAGATTAATGGCCGGCTGTCCTGGGGCCCTATCAGCTAAGTGACCAGTGTCCTATACTGTAACAGTAGTCTAGCAGGTTATATCTGATTACACAGTGTGCTAAAATATTGAGGACTTCTGCCTACAGAGATAGGCATCTTGATCTGCATTTATGTACAATAATGGAATACAATCATGTAAGGCTTTGAGCTTTGTTATTTACCCATGTGAATGCTACCACTCTAGTGCATTTAAGGGCAATCATTTTTTTTGTTGTAAAGGTCTTTTTAAAAAAAAGTTGCAAAAGCTGTAATAAGTCCATTTAATACGGCCAAGATGAATTGTTAACGCATGTCGCACATCATTGTTAGAAAGTTTAATTCAATATGCTTTTTTTTTTTGGTTTGACTTAGAGAAGATGGTCTCAAATAGTTTAATGCTTTGGAAAATGTCTGCAATACTATTTTGTTATGCTTTATCCTCTATCAGTTTGAGAATGTGCCTTATGTATATTTAGCTTCTGTTAATTTTTTTTTTTTTTTTAAATTTCTGGCTTTGCTGCAGGATCTCAAAAAGAAAAAAAAAAAGAAAAGCAATTTATTTCACTGATGGTTGTGAAACTGCAATAAAATTTGTTTTTTTTAAAATTATAAGCAAATTTTTCATCACTTTGTGAAATGTACTATAACTTTGCTAGAGCTTTATCCTATATGTTTTCCAACATGATATTCAATTTTAATAAAACTTTAGGAAATTTTCACATAAAAAAAAATTGAATTGTTATGCCACCGGTATGTTTTTGAAAAACAAAACTGTTAAATTTTTTCTAGATATCCTAAATAGGAAATAACTCAGTTATTTTTTAGCTTTCTGTAGTAACACTGAACTGCACACCTCTCTAGCTTAAGGAAATATTTTAAAGCTTCCTTGCATAATTTTATTTTTACAGAGCTATTTTTTAATCTCAAAATTTCATCTCTCATAAATGTAATGGATACTAAACAACTACTTGAAACTTGTGTACTACACTGTTTGTGTAGAAATCATTTACATACAACAAAATCATACATGCCTAGCACTAAATGGCCAGCTCGTATCTGATTGGTTAAATGAGCATTTGACCCACCCCTATCATGTTGCTGTTATAAGGCAACACTGTATAATAGATACCTGTTGCTTTTGCTGTTGTTTGCATACTATCCCTCCCCTCCTAGCTGAGATGTTGACTGCCTGTTTATTGTAAATGAGAAGGTCCAACTGAAACTTTTATTACTGTGTCTTCTTCATTCCCATACCTCCCCCTGTCTTCTCACTTTGTAAGATAGCACTGATTTAGCTTGCACCCAGTTTGTGTAGCCAAACTGGAATTCACCTTTAAATTTAGATCATTCTATAGATTCTTTTTTTTTAAAGTAATTTTTAAATTCTCCAGATTTTAGGTGTAGATTTGTGTGGGTTGCTTTGTTTCTGTGTTGACTGGCTGGTAACTGTACAATTTATTAGGAGGTGCAGTCTCTTATTATTTTAATAATAGATAATATTTTGGAATATAATGTCTTAAAGGGACCAGTGATGTGACAGTTTGTCTTCAGGCATGAGTTTTAGCAATTGAGATTTCTGCAATTATATCATAGAGGGTATAGGTAAAGCTTCCTATAAAAAACTGCCTAGTTTATTATAATATGGTTTATGGTCATATTATGTCAGGAAATATATTTTTTCTGTGTAGATAAAATTATGTTCAAAGCTGAAGTTTCTCATTATCATGTATGTATACAACTATTTCAAGATGTGTCCATCTTGATAATGTCTAGGTGGTTGTAGAATGTAGAGTTCATGTTTACATTGATAAAGAACCAGTTACTTCCCCTGACTATGTATCTGTACAAAGCCAAGCTTAGAAAAACCTCTGTGGAGTGTGGTCAACTGAGATATTCTGTATGTTAACATGAGTTTCATGGCCAGAAGCTGAACTATGTTGTATATTGTTTATGTATTGTATGCTGGCATTAACAGACACTGTTCAGTTACATTTTTCAACTTGCTTGCTAACAAAGCAATCTCACAAGACATGTGCCATTTGAAACATTTGCTGTTCTATTTTTATAATGTTTACAGTGTTTTTTTTGTCCCTGTCAGTTGTTTTGTATAAAAAAAAAATTGAAATGTCTATAGCATTTCAATAATCCTTTTATATCATTCATGATTGGTTCAATCGCATTTTTTTTTCATTGCCCAGTTTGATGAAAAATTTATTGATGAAAAATTATCATGGTTATTTTAGATATTTTTTCGATAGGTTTTTTTTTTGCATTTCTCACCCAAAATGTATAAGAACCAATGACCAGTGGCATTTGAAAGCTTTCATATATGTGTGCATGTGCGTGTCCATTTAGTTGTGGTCACATTAAAAACACACTTTGTACTTATTGCTTCAATACTATGTATACAGATGTTATGATTTATAAATGTTACATTGTTATTGCGGAAAAAAAAAATCTTCCTTGTTTTACTTAGAAAATAAAGGCATTTTCTTTTGTTTATTTTACTTATGTTGTAACACATTGATAGACAAGAAATCTGTTTTGTATTTCTTCCTTGTTTTTTACCATTGTGATCTTAGTACTTTTTTTCTTGGCTTAATTTCAAGAAAACTTTTTTTTAAAGTTGAGTTGTTGTCAAGCATGTTCTGTATTGTTTTTTAAAGTAACTCTTTTGATTTCCATGTTTACAAATGTGAGG